CACCTTCTGGCATCCCTGTCAGGGTTTTCACCCCTGAGGTCCTGGAAAGGCTGCTGGCACTCTCTCCCTACCCTCAAACGCACCCAGCTGTCATCACCTCACTCTTTGCAGCATTCACTGTCTTCCACGTACTACAAAAACGCCTGCTGCAAGGCCCGAGGACCTCTCCTCTCCTCTCCCTGTGTTCAAGGGCTATTATTATCTCACCTGTCACACAGTAAGGAGATGACCCATCCTGTGGCAGGTGTGTACGAGCACATACACTGATGTGGTACTTTCACAGCGGGTACCTTTGGGTGCCTCCGTTAAGATTTGCATATTCAAGTATAGGAACTGAACTCCAATGAGTTTGATGGAATTACAGACTCCAAAAACTGAGGAGGTTTTAGCTTTCTAAATCTTTGCCTGGCTTGTTGCAAAAATGAGCCTTATGAGTTGTCTTTACTTGCCTTTGGTAAAGTCATTCGTGATAAACCATGCTATGTGAAAAGAGAAGTATAGGGTGTAGTTAGGAGTAACACCACTTTCAGTGTAGCATGAAGTGAGCAATTTAGTAAAATGGTTGAAATATTTCACCCTGGGTATACACTCCCTCAGAGTCAGCAATCATCAGAGTAACTGTTTGAAAAGCAGATACAGAGGGAAAAAATTAAAGGAAGAATCAACATCAAATGTAAGATGCTTGGTTGAACTTGAGAAATGCTCTGGTAACAGCTTCAAGCATTCAAATAGAAAAATGCATCCCTACGTAATATTGATTTCATGTCTGGAGAAAAACCCACAGAATATTGTGTCCAAGCTGCTGAAGATGCTAACTGGAGGCACACATTAAAATGAGGTCAAAGTCATTACTTTGTTCAAACAATGAAACTCAAACACAACAAAAAGTTGGTAAAGCAAATTTCTGGTGAAATCAGTTTCACTCTCTGAAATAAATAAACTTATTTTATTATGCCTTGGAAACAAGGAAGTAACCCTAAGAGTCTTCTGTTGAAATCCTGGCTTTTTAACCTGATGGAAATTTAATTACCAACTTCAACAGAGTCAGGACCTTACCATGGCATTGCAATCTGGGCATTCAAAATGCTTCCGCAATCATGACCCATCTCTTGCTCTGGTCTGAACTTGGAGGACTGGTGCTCTTGACTACCATTTTACGGTGCTTTTAAAAAAAGTAGGTGAGAAAAGAAAGCTGATGAGGGGCTTTTTAGGATAGTGATAGGACTAGGGGGAATGGATTAAAGTTAGAGATGGATTGGTTCAGACTGGATGATAGGAAGAATTTGTTCAGCATGTGAGACACTGGCACAGGTTGCCCAGAGAGGGGGTGGAAATCCCATCCCTGGAAGTTTTTAAGGCCAGGCTGGATGGGGCTCTGAGCAGCCTGATCTAGTGCGGGATGCCCCAGCTCATGGCAGAGGGGTTGGAACTAGATGATATTTAAGGTCCCTTCCAACCCTGACAATTCTATGATTCTATGATTCTATCCACAGGAGATAGCTAAGGAAAGAAGATAGCATTAAAGAAGAGTCCTAAACTCCTGGAGTGCTTCTGAAATGAGGCTGGTGTGAAAAGAATCTCCCTTTCTCCATTAACAATAGAGGGATACCATGGATATTAAACTCCTCACTCCCAAAACAAGGATATATTCATCAAGACTACATAACTGTATTTGCATGCAATGCCTACGTATATTGAACTCAGCAGTGACCAAAATGAGATCTTTGCTCAAAACACAGAATTAAACTATATACAGGAGTCTCTCAGAAAGCCATTGAACTTACAGAAACAGTGGAAGAATAAATTGCCTTTATAGAGTTAGCCACAAAACATGCAATTAGCATTTTCAGTGCAAATTGTTCTCTACTTGAGCACACCTCCCAAGCAAGATTTTTTTGTCACGTTGGGACTAATCAGGTCCCAAGCGTCTGGAAACATCCTGGAAGAGGATTATATCGGAAATTATAATTGTCCTTTGGCCATTATTTTCTCTTCAGTTAAGGCAGAGATGTGAATTTAATAGCATTATATGCAGCAATGAAGAGGAAATTAAAAAGGGGGGGCAGATTAGAAGCAAGAGACAATCTTTTTCTAACTGCAGGGCTGAAGGAAATGAACGCTCCGTGACAAGACCTCTGGCACCCCTGGGTGTCAAAGTCTCTGTTAACACCAGGCCAGGATCTCAGGCTCTGTGTACTGCTTGAGCCTGACACTTGGCCTTTTCTGACACAGAGTATAGCTGTGAAATGTCAACAGCCATAACAAATATTACTGCATGTACCTAGCAAGTCACTCAAAAAACACCCTTATGACTGTTCACAGAGCCTTGTAAGGTGGTTTTGCTTTCTGGAAATAACAGATGTACTGGAAATACAGTAAAATTTCAATTTTTGCCCCCCCCCAGATTTGTGTGTGAGCTGCCACGGCAGAGAGCGTAATATTGCAATTCTCCAGCCTCTTAGTTAAATGTGCTCAATTCTCCTGCATAAACAAGAGCAAAAACTGAAGACGGTTGGTGCACATTCCAGAAGGGGTGTTTTCTTTTTTTCAGAGGTGTCCAGATCCTTGTTTCCCTTTCAGCATGGTCTCACATAATGGAAATGTAGAAGATACACCAGGATAGGTCTAAGTATATATTTCCATCTGTGTCTGCTTTTGCCAAGAAAAATACGTCCAGGACTTACCCTAAACCCCAACATTTTTTAATGTAAAATATAATCCAGACCAGTGCCATCAGCAGCAATCCTGAGGACTGCAGAAAATAATCTTTTTAAGATTACAGTATGAGCTTGATGTGTATGCAGTTTGCATAAAGTTTCTATATTTCCTTCTAGGAGACTGATTTTCTGCAGAGTAAGTAATCTAAATATGCTATAGTGTGAAGATTAAGATTGTGTGTTCAGTGTATAGACATATGTTGCCATTTTTCCTTACCAACATCTCCCACTATTGCTTGGCGTGTAAAGGTATTTCATTTGCTGAATTCAACCTGTCAACTGTAACAAATATATCCTAATCCCATTATATGCATCACAGTTCACTAGCAACCTCATAGGAGCCACGGAGTCTTTTTCTCTTTGATCATCCCAGATCTGCACACTGGCCAAGGGCAACAACCATGAAGTCTGCTGAGAATAGATGTGGAGAGACAACCTGCAAGGCACAACACCTGAGCACGACATACTTGGTATATATGACAATTGTTTAAAAGGTACCTCAACTCCCATTTCACAAAGTTCATTACTGTAGCAAATGCTTTAACATCAGCTCTTCCCTATATTTCTCTATTTCCATTTGTGCTGCTGTGCCTTCTCTGATTTCATGGCGGCATAATTGCTGAAGACATGGCTGCAACTGTGACTCAATAATTGTAGCTGTCTGGTCTCCCTCTTCACCATCAATTTAGGTATTGACTTCTTTTATTAGGAGTCTAATATTGCTATGAGATCATCATGGAAAAGAGAGGCAGAAAATGGAGTTTTCGTCCCATGGCATATTCAGCCATTTGAACAATCCCCACAGTTACAAACTGGAACATTACATTTTGAAAAAACTATCATTAACCAAAGATTCTGAAATATTCTGACATAGATATCATGCAATGATATACTGAAACACCCCCTTTACACAATCAAAATATTTCAATTTAATGCTATTTTAACCTTTATATTATATAAAAATAAAACTTTCAGGCTTTTCTCTTTCATCCAGTTACATAGGAGGCAGAATAATAAAAGTTGAAGTGTTTAGATAACTTTCCTTTAGAACATTTCAATCCTGCAAAACACTGTTTCATCCACATTTTTGGAAAGGGAGTTCCTTTAGAAGGTTTCTAAGCTTTAAATTTCTGAATTCCTTTAAGAAACCTGCAACCGCCTGTTGTACAAAGACAAATTTTTAGGTAACAAATGTGAACATCTTGGATCATCAGTGGATTAATGTCTTTATTTTGGTTTGCAAACAGAATCTTTCAAAGGGGCAATGAGACACTGCACAGACAGACTGCAGTTGTAGATTTGTTGGAGCTATCAGACAATATTGACTGTCTCCTGCCCAAATGCTGAGAGCTATGAGGCTCTATCGACTTCACTGTGGAAAGAGACCACAATGAATGAGATTCAGGAAAGAATTAAAAAAGAGAGGACGGCATTTCCCTATCACAAAGCAGTCCACAAAATCTGAGCCTTCCATTCAGGCTTAAAATAAAACCGCTTTCCTGGCTGCACATTGATTAAAATAGATGTTAAAATATTCAGATTGTGGGTAGATTTCTCGGCTAGGAGGAAGATACCATATATAATCAGTTTTAATTTTTGTACGTTTATAACAAAGCACAAAGCTGCACAGTTTGGATGACAAACATAGCAGGCAAGTTTTCCTTTTTTCTTTCTCCTTTATCCAAATTGCTGTTTTGACTGCAGTCATTAAGGGAATAACAGAAGCATTTTTTTTTTGGCAGCGGATTTTAAAAAACATGACCTTAACAAGTCCTTTAATGATTTTGGACAAAATAATGACTCAATGAATTAATTTAGTCCTCTTGTGCAAATTAACTGTTTCCAAATTATATATGTATACGAATCACTTCAAACTGAAACAGGGCCAGACTTGCTCAGCTGCAAGGTGGCAGCCAGAGAGACAAATGGTTTAACTTTGTAGCTGAAGTAATCCTGGACAGGACACTAAGGCAAAGCATTTCTCTTGCAGTCGTTTCCATGGTATCTTTAACACCCACATACAGCAAGTAGGACATTGGTTGTTAAAGTCTCATCCAAATAACTCCTACAAAGTAAATTGCATGGAACCCAATTTATCTACCTCGAAATGAAGTTTGCTGGGATTTGAACCAGTGGCTTCAGGAAAAAAGAAAACAACAGGTACTTCAAACCTGATGTGCAAATCACTCAGCAATACTACTAGCTTTAAGCCATAAACAGTAAATTTGAGACCATATGCATGCATACATATATATAAATCTATGCACAGATAGCTGTACCTACATTTGCCTGAGATTCATCATGTCCATTGATTTCTGCTAATTCCTTGGCGCTTTTTAACTGCAAAGAGTGAATAAAAAACAAAACAGAACAAAACAGGCACATTACTTGGGTATTTCACACAGTTATCTTTGATTTATTTGAAGGAGTATTTTATAAAGCTTCCAATGAGAAAAACAGATGGAGCATATAATTCTAATGAGTTTTTGCTCGAACCATTTTGAAACCAACATACTTAAGGCTTGATAGGATGGCAAAAAAAAAAAAGAAAATAATAAGTTTGGGTCATTATTTTTTAAATAATAAGATTAGAAAGTAGTTTCAAGGCATAAAAAGTGTACAGAATTGGCTCTCAAGAATAATAAATGCTTTCATTTCCCATTCTTGTTGCTATTAATTTAAACTTTACAATATTTGCAAGTTGCCACTAGCTAAATAGTGTTTTGCTAATGATTACTTTTGAATGATATATTTTGAGCTGTTTATGATGCCAAAGTGCTCCTGTACGTTTCCTTCCTGAGGAAGCATCTAAATAACTGACATGGCTCCTGGGTATGACGGAAAAGGAGGTGAAGAGAATAACAGCTCTTTTATTTAACCAGTGGCAGGAACAACCGAGGAGACAGTGCCAATTCCAAATATATATTCTGAACCAAAACTTTTTTTTTCATCCTGAATTAGCTTTTTTTTTTGGGGGGGGGGGGTAAATCCAGGATTACATTGGGGATTGTAAAAATCTGTCCTGGGAGATTTAAGGAATGTCTCAAGTCACAGTGAAATATGCAGTCGTTCATCCTGTGACTGAGCAAACACAGAAAGGAGGAGACACCGCAGCTCTCCTGAGCCTATAAGCCATGAGGTTTGTATATTTAAATGAAGTGCTCAGAACCATTTATTCTCTAGGTAAATCTCTGGAGAGTCATGCTTTTATTTTAACTCAGTTCAGAACTGGTATCTAGGGTGGGGGGAGATGGGGAAAATAAACAGAATTTTCCTCTGCATTCCTTGTTTTTTGCCAAAGAAGCTGGGGTTTATGTAACAGTTGATGATACAGCTGAGATCCTGAACCACAACAGTCCTAAAGTTCAGGTGAAATAGAACACTATTATGTTTTGATTAGGTGTCTGACTCTGAAGCCTTGGCAGACTACCAGCCTAGGGCAGCTAGGTTACCTCCATTATCTTTTTGCTGTGTGGCAGCAACAACTAACAATGTGTTGTACGTGTGATTCAATTCCCAACTTCTCACAGTTTTCAGTGTGACAATTAAGGTATTTGGGCCATGATCTCTGCGTACCTTATTAGGCAGGGTTGTAAACCGCACCAGTTCAGAAACTGCTGCTCAAGCCACTAAACCAGTCCTGACAGAGAGGGAAGGAGGCAGCAATCCCTGATAATGTAGTACAGAGGACAGCTGGGGACTCCAAACTCATCAGGTCTCCTGGTTCAACTCCCTGATGCTCATCTTTCAATATCCTCAAAAAATCTGCAATTCATACCAATAGCAGGGTGACACATTACCAAGGAATGCTACGTATTTTCTCTACACTGATGAAATAATCATCCTGTGAAACCACTTCACTGATGAAATAACCATCCTGTGAAACCACTTGACTGTGAGGACGACTGGTAGGAACAAGCCAAGATGGCTACTTCCAGCCAAGCACAACAATTAGGCATTTCTGCATCATAGTGCGACTGAAAGTGCCGTTTCCTCATTCTGCCACTTCTTCATTACAGAAATTCACCTCACGTGTGCAGCCCTGTTGAGTTCAGCTGAATTACTCATCTGAATATGAGGTCAGGAGAGTGTGCTCGGGTATGTGAGACTGTTCTGCAAGCTAATGCCATGTCCTAAATGCTTGAGGAGTGCAGTTCATTACTTACCTTTCACCTTTCCTTTTCCAGGTTTGATAAAGTGCCATCACCCTTTGGTGACTATTGGCTCCTTGGGCAATGCTCTGCATATGTTCTGCTGGTGACATACCACTCCCCTGTCATTCACATGTGCACTTGACAGGAGCGTGGGCTCAGCCTCTGGCCTATGTTGGTCTGGCAGGCTTTCACCCCTCCATGGTTTCCCACAATCATGCCCGGGCATGCCTCCACCAGTTAATTCAATGCTAGCAGGATGCTTGAACCTTTCAACTTCTTTCACTGCATGCCATGCTCTGAAAAGGATGCTAGAGCTCAGGCAAGAAGGTGCTAGCATCCACATCTACACTAGAACCACTGCAGTAGGAGGTGGAGGTGAGTCAGTGGAGATAATGGTGGAAAATTTATGGGTAGAGAATGTCCATCTGCATTCTCATAGGCTAAAGGGATAAAGTCTCTCTTTTTTTTCCCAATATTGTTTTTTTCTGAATTAAAATTATATTCTTCTCTCATATCCTAAATAATGAAATGTTGGAATAGGAACCTTAGAAAAACAGACAATATTGGAAACACAGGACTTGCCTCACCCCCTAGACTAGCTCCATCGCGATTGGTGACGAATGTGATGTTACCAGCAGAGAGTATGCTGAGGCAACGCACTGAACTAGTGTCAGAAAAACCAAGGGCCTACCTGAAAGGAAAGGAGAAGAGTTGAGGGGTTAGAAGTCTCTCATAAACCTAATTTCATGGTCTGACTCAAACCAGTGGGTGTGAATCCCTCGGACAACTAGAGCTGGCAGCCATGAGCCAGATCTGATCCAGAAGGCTTTAGCCTACAGTAATGCAGTACGGTGCACAAGCAAACAGGACGTCTCCCAGCAGGACATGCCAGCCTGGACACAGCTGGGTTGGTGCCACGGGATGGGTGTGAGATGTGCTGAGCCAGCAGACATGCTCAGACACAGCTGCACCTCTCCAAGCAAACACGCCCATGGTGAGGGGAAGCTTCAGATGAAAAGGCAGATTTTAGCAAAAGTTATCACAAAAAACAAGCCATACACTCGAGGCGGGAGCCCAGTGCTATTTATTTTTGAAAGAAACGTTCGTATTTACTTGACTCCACCAGACGATTTTCAACACCCATTGTGGGTAAAACACACAGATGAGCTGTGGTGCTTGGAAAGGAAAGCTGTGAGCCTTGGCAAGTGGGGGTCATTGCTGCTCTGGAAAGTTTTGGAATGGGTTCAGGGTTGCTGGAGAAGCACACTGGCTGTGCAGCATTCGTTAGGAATTCTGGCTACTTGCAGTCTTGGCCTTAGGCGTGTTTCACAGCTAATTCTCCAAAGAAATGCAGATCCATCCTGCCTTTCTTCGAGCTACTGTTTCATCTGTCTGCCTAGCATGAGTGCACATTTGATTCGCAATTAGCAGGAGTCTGCAGAGACTCAAAAGTCTGCCCCGGTGGCCCCCACCAGGGCCTTGCATTGTGACAACTTCCTATATGTTTGTGCATCATTTAACAGCTGCCAAGATGTAAAGTAATTTCATGTAATTTCATTTTTTTTCTTAAGTATTGCATAATGCTATACCTTGAATGCAGTCTAAAAATGGAAATGAGATGCAATTAACTCAAGAGATCCAGTGGATTCTGTGTCTATAAAGATTGTCACTACTAAATCCATTTTTCCTCATGGTGTTTTGTGTAACACAGCCTTGCATCAGCTCCATTTAGAAAGTTGTCTCTGTAACCGTAAGTACTATGAACTTGTATCTCAACATGAATGCTTTATTTTTTCCAGAATCTAAATTAACAGTTTCCAGAATATATTTGTCACTAGATATGGTCAAAGACAAATGTTAGATGCGGAACAATGTCACAGGTTTCCTAACAAGCATTCAGAAAGTCTGAAATAAGCATAATTTACTTTTACCAATATGTACATTAAATGTATAAATCTGTATGCAGACATATTCAGACATACATGCTAATAATCTTGCAAATAAGAATCAGCAGCTTTTTGAATCTTTGCCATCTAAGCAATTCAGATCCCACAGTCTTTAAACTGCAAATACTTAACCAAGTCGCTAAATATTTGAGCTCAAAATTTATCCAGCAAGGATTAAAATAACGTTTCACAGACTGTGCCTGTGCAGCACAGGTCGGGGGTTGTGATTTGAGTGTGTTTGAGCCACGTGGTCTACACAGACAACGTGTATTTGTGCACACTGTGCTTGTGCACAATGCGCTGCTTCATCTCCAGTTTCAGAATCATAGAATCACAGAATTGTCAGGGTTGGAAGGGACCTTAAAGATCATCTAGTTCCAACCCCCCTGCCATGGGCAGGGACATCCATCTCACCATGCTTATAAACCAAGACTATCAAATACATTTGTCAGTGTCATAGAACACCTTAATATCAAAGAAGGTGTGATGATCAGATTTACAGAACTTTGCTTCTCACTGCGCACCGGTAACTACTTTTTAAACGCCATTATGATGAAGCTTTTTGTATACTTATATCTGCATGAATACCAAAGGAGATGCCAAGCTCTTTTTTACTAGTCTTAAAAGACAGAGCTGTTTTGTTTCAGGTATCTTGTAACTCTCTCTGCTTTTTTATTAAATTCAGAGAGAAAACATACATCACTGATATCTATGCAGAATAACATAATAGGAAATGTTACTCAAGACATGCAATTCAATATTGGATAGTATAAAATAAGGGTAATTTTTCATTCTGTTTTCTCAAACCCTGTGTTAGCCTCAGCTGTCTTCACAAATGTTAATCAGAGCAGACACATAGGCCACATAGGGTTATGTCTTGCTCACAGCATATTCTGTGGTCAGACTCCCCTGGATTTTGGAGGTAAAGCCATGGGTCCTCCATCCCCTTACTACGCTTATGCCAGCATTGTTCTCCCACGAGAAACACTCACCTGTTCCTGAAGGACTTTAAGCATCGCTTGTGTATGTGTTTGCTCTTCCTTGGCTTGCTCTAGTTCGGATTTTTTGTTATTTAATTCTTCCTGTATGCTCAGCAATTGCTGCACAAACAAAAGAAGTTTCTGGTTAACATCGTCTGGATCCAAAGCTCTTTTAAATCCTCAGTTTGATAAATCCCCATTTCAAACAATGCTTTGCAGTCTGCTCCTACATTTATTACTGTTGCATAATCTGCTGTGTCTAAATGAACCAGAGGTAAATTATTTTCATCTGCCTGCCCTTCTGCAGCAGTGCTCCACGAGTAATGCATCAGTTAATGTGTGTTAAGCTATCTGTTACATTAAAGTAGAAACTCCTGGTACAGTATATCACCCACAGAGCGACTGTCACATTCATTTGAACCAAAATCTTATTTGTAGAAGTATATATGCGGTGGTTTTAATAACACTAGGGTAAACACTATGGTACATTAATAATTTAAAAGCACAGCCCTTTAATATAATTAGTCATTGGCCCACAGCCATTTTCATTCTATGCAAAGCAATATTCTGGAAAGCTTTCACAGTGAGTTGCCAGGAAGACAAAAGCTTTCCTCTTTTCCCTTGTGCTGTGATATTTTATTAGATCAGGAAGACTGACGCCCTACAATCAATATGTCAGCCTGGGAGATTGCTGATCTGAACTGTCAAAACAAAAAACTATGACCAAACACTATTTTTATCAAGAGAATTCTGAGTTGCAGGTTACCTTTAAAAGCCCACATGCCCTGCTCTTGGCTAGCTTTAGGTTCTACACAAATTTATTGTGACTGTCAAGAGCATGTCAGTAGATTTAATTAATTCTGAAATAATTATAGATTTTTGTATTGATGTGAGGAATGTTAGACACTGATGAAAAGCAAGAGGAGACAGACATGAGATTTAGAAGTTTATGATGCTTTCACTTAGTGATCAAGAAAGGAAACTATGATTTCCTGGGGCAACAAACTGCTTGCATGCACACTGCTTTTTAAGTATGACTTGAAAGAGGAACTGCTTTCCTAACTCACGTTACCAATCTAACTATGTATCTAAGCGTCTAAAACTTAGTTTATTCTTATGCTTGTGTAACTCTGCCTCAAACCAATGTTGCAAGTGTTAAGCATCTTGGTAAGAGAGCAAACCTAGAAATAGTCCCTGGCCTTGTTCCACTGTCCTGGAAGTCCCAGACATCAAAGGACTTGGTGCCAGTACTGTTTTCAGAGCTGCTTGGAAACAGATGACATTTCAGGCAGTGATGGAGTTATTGGTAGTGTATTTCTGTTGTAAGTGAACACCAGCATGATGGATTAATTCAGCCACTGAAGTAAAAATAGATGTGGGTATGTGTCTGATTATATCTCATACACTCCACAGTCCAGCCGGGTTAGCTTTTTGATGGATCTTGCTGCCTGGACTGCTGCCTGAGAGCCTTCAAGAGACATTCAAGTATATGTATTCACTCTATTACAGTACAGGAGCATTTAAAATCTCAAGATTTTACATAAAATACTAAGGTCTTTTCCACTGAATCTCTTGCTCAACAAACTTGTGAGGGAAGGTCTACTTTGGCATCCCGACCAGAGATGGATTGCCACTTCAAGCCTGTGTTCATCTTGCCTGTTGGGTACTACTCCCTACATTTTCAGAAGATACACTGAATTTGTGTATGCTGTCATATGTCACACACTGATATTTATCTGGAAGGTTGTAAGTGAGTTTTCAGTCTGTCCCTGCCTCTGGAAAGCCTTTTCTTTACTGAATGACTGTTACAAATGGAAAACCAAGTTTCACCTAAGGGTTGAACTTGTTGCACTTCTGTCAGAACCGAAATCTCCTTCCCCGTCCTACCCACCCCCTCACATGGTTCTTCCACCGCCAAGTTTTACATAGCAGCTCACAAAGTTCCACTGTTTCATTTTCACATCTCCCACTGCGATCTCCCTCTGTGATTTAGTCTAATTATATCCCTCTTCCTTTGATCCTGACTTTTTCTGTTTTGTGTTTGAGGCAATTTTTCCAAAAACTGCCCAAGCATGGGAGGAAGTGGCGTGGAAGACATTGTCTGTGAGCATGAGAGAGACATGCTCCCTGCTCTGCATCTTAGTATTTGGCTCTGGACCAGCCAGGAACAGGAATCCCAGGAAAATATCCAACTTGCTCAGCTTCCCCAGGGTAAGAGTGTGTTCATTCTAGTTGCAGGATGAGCTGTAAAACACGATATAAGATAAAACCTTCCAGCAGTCTTAACAGTTAGACTGTCAGCTACTGCAGGCTTACTGTGTGTGCATAGGCTCCTACTTTCAGATATAGAAAATGGGTCCTATTTTATGGGGTGCAAAACCGAGTATCTGTAACTAAGGTACCATACTCCCAGTCACACACAAGTTTTTTATACACAGAACTGGGACCTTTCCATCCAATCCCCAAGGACTTCAGAATATTTTAAACCTTGTAGCCATCCCCTGGGGGTTTAACCTTCTTTCTTCTTCTCTTCTTCATATTTATCTCTAAAAGCTGCAGAACCTGCTGATTTTGCATGGGTCATGTTCTGAAATTTCTTTTTCCTGAGTAGTTGATGCGGCCACCACGAAGTTGTGAGAAGGAGTTGTACCTGCCAAATAGCATATTTTCCCCTTATAGTTTCATTTTGGAAAATGAAGAAATACTTTGACTGAAAAAAAAAATATCAGCCTAAGACAGACGAACAGCCTGAAAAATTTCACCACGAACACGTGATGTTTGGCAAAATTAGAAGCAAATGGGAAGAGGATCTTACACCGGCAGGAATGAGGCAAGTTTCATAACAGGGACTGCTGTCATGCCTGCTTATAAACAGACAGCCTTTCCATAAAGATTGTAATGAATGATGCCAAGATGACGGTATTTAATTATTCAGAATTATTCTGGTTTTCATATAAATGTGCTTATTAAAAATTGATCCTATAGATATTTCTTCTGCCCTTCAGATTGCTTGCAAGTATACACCACAATCAATTAAAATAGAAAAAATATTGTTCTTCTTGGTTTTAATGTTTATGCTATCTGATACTGTTCCACCTACTTTGTCATCTCATCCAGCCTTTCTGTGAGAGCTTCCCCCTGTGCCCACCCACCCACTCAGCTTTTGCTACCCCTCTTTCCACCTGCTAAATCCTGCTGGCTTGTCTCACAGCTACTGCCAGCACAGCTATCAAAGTGTCCCTTCCTTCAATCTTCTCTCTCCTCTCTGGCTATTTCCTTTAAGCTCTGATGTCCCCAACTTTGTGTCACAGCCATGGCATTCAGGCAGCATTTCCCCAGTTTCCTCAGGCATAGGAATGACTTCCTGGTTACATATCCAGGAAATACCTGGCTCATTCTTCTCTTGTCTTCCAATGGTCCTCAGCATGCAATTCTTCAGGTTTCTGAGGGTCCTCTGCAAGTTAGGCAAAGGCCTTTTCCCTGAGCCAAAATCCCAGAGTGAGGAAGCAGAAAAGCATCTGACAGTGCTCATCACAGCTCTGAGGATCATGGAGAGAGATATCTGCACAGCCTAGAGCTCCACCAGTATCAGTCTGGAAGCTCAGCTGGCCTACGTGCAACCAAACCTGTTTGCCACCATGGCAGCCAGGCTAACCCCAAGAGATGAAGCCGTGTAGTAGGTCCAGAGCAGACTGGTAGGCGTAACTGATATCCCCTCTTACTGGCAGTTCCAGAGAGAAGCCAGGAAAGGAGAAAGAATTAACCCACAAGTTGTCTCTCCAGAGATCAATCAATGCCTTTTAGACAAAAAAAAATGTAAGACAGATTGCTTGTTTCCAGTAGCAGCTCTGGAGCTGCTCTGTATAGAAATGGTAAATACCACTCTCCAGTGTTAAGCTTCCTTCATTCATGAGGACCAAATTCTTCCTGTGCATAAGTGGGTAGCTAATTTCTTTATATGGAGGGGGAAGGGTATGTGTGTGTGTGTGTGTTTTATTTTGTTTTTTCACACTTTCCCACCTCCAGTGCTGAATCTCTGTCAGAGACAGTTCAGTACTGCCCATATTGCGTAGATCTCAAAAGTACAGACAGAAAATTACCATCTTAAACCAATCTTCGCAGCTTCTGAAACATTAAATATAGATGGCATTACTGAAGCCAGCAGAATTACTCAGACTGTGTACAATGCGGTGCCCGCGTGGCCAGGAATGCTAACAACCAAACAACACGCAGTGCCTTGAAATATATGAGAAGCCCTAAAGGGAAAGTCATAGCTTGCTGTTGTGTACCACTGTGCAGCCGTGAAATATTCCTTCTCTTTCCTCTCCTCCTCCCTGCTCACAGTTCTTCATTTCTTCCCAAAAGGCAGTGTTGCATGTGTACATTTAAATATAAATTACGTACGTATCTGGAAGTGTGGTCACACTGAGCCTAGCAGGACAGAGAAGGGTCTCAGAAGGAAAGCATGGTTTCCAGCATGAAACCATCAACTTAGCAGGCTAAGAAAAGGGAGGCAGATCAGAACAGACCGCAAGGCCCGAGGCTGTACTTAAGATACTGTAAAGCTGACAGAATAATGAAAAAGAAAAACCAGCATTTGCCACAAGTTTAGCAGTTATACTGCTGAACGGTCCTGCCCCTCCTACTTTGGTTATGGCTTTCTCTGTAGCTGCCAGAAATGAAGTATGAGAAGGTTACAAATACTTTAAAGAAAGTGAGTTAAAGAAGAACAGATAACAGAAAGCCTCTGAGGTGGGAATGCTGTTTTCAGTCACAGGTTGTGCAGGCCATTTCAGGAAATACAGCCCCTTCAGCTATGGGAAGGAGGCACAGACTCTCTCTCAGTTTTCTGGAGTTGCCACAGTGTCCAGAAAAGATCTGTGGCAAACTCTTCTTCTAGTTAAAGATGTCCCTGCTCACTTCAGGGCACTTGGACTAGGTGACATTTAAAGGTCCTTTCCAGTACAACACATTTTACGATACTTTGAAACAAGTGTATCAGTCGAAGAGAGATGCTCTTACACAGCCTAATTGTGTCAACTCAGTTGAATGGCTGTCTTAGACACTTAGTAAGCTTGGGCAAACTGGATTCTCCCATCTTTATAATGTTTGAGGCCAGC